TGTTGGGGTCTGTTGCTGAGATAATCCTATTTTGATATGTTTGTTACCGTTCAACAGCACACAATATAACATAGTATCATACACATATTTCATATATGATGTATTCTACTACACTATTTTATACTGTACTATACCATACTTGGCCGTACTATGGTATAATGTACTCAAAAAGCACACTGGTATTCAGTCCCGCGGTCGCGCGGTTGCTGTGTCTAACAGATTATAATGTCATGTAGCATAATACACTATGATGCAGTCTGGCATGTCATGGTTTAATATAGAAGGCAACAAGAAGAACTACCACAGTTTTAATACATTTTAATACTCTAGCCTGTGTAGCTACAACCTATTCTTAGAAGCACATGAAGTATGGTATGTTGCAGTATGGTATGCTGGGGTGTGGTATGGTCTGGTACGGTAATAACTATCGTTTTCTGACATGATGTGACGTGCCATGGTAGAGTAGAGTACAGCAAGTTAGGAAGAGTTGAGTGGAGTAACTAGCATACGGTAGAGTAGAGTAGAGTGACAACATATATGTGTATATATATATATANNACACGCATAACTAATTAAATACTAAGTACATAGAGCTGCATATATATCTCGACATATATAGAGACATATACAGACACATAGTCATACATATACACTGACTCTGCGTCTTCAATGATGTGCTGATGTTGTTTGTCGTATCTACGCTTGCATCTAATCGGTCTGCTTTGTGTTCTATGCTCCTTTCGGATGCCCTTGCAGGACACGGGTGGGTGTAGGGCTTCGAAGCTGTGGGTTATTTCCAGGTTGCTTTGAGATCTTGGATTGTCTCCTTTTTAAGTGCTTGTGATTGTTTGCATGCGTTTCCCAAGGTGACCGCGGCTTCCGGTTTTCGAGGGTTCTCCTGTTTCCCACAAGCCAGTCCGTTTGCCGCAATCCTGAATCCGACTAACCTGAGAGGCCGGAGACTTGGCAGGAAAGTTAGTCTCCTCAACCCGTCTTGAGTCTTCGCCCTAAGTCGGTCACTAAAGAGTTGTTCCTGGCAAGCCTCCAGACTCCAGACGCTGATCATCCAAGGGGGAGCATGATGATGACCCCCAACATGGGCGGCTTTTGAGATGTGGTCTCAGGTACGGAACCCCAACCCTGAACCCTCAGATGTTGGTTTCTAGACCGCTCTCTTGGGTAATTATGTTAGTTTTTTTTTGTTTTTTTGTGAGGGGCTTCAGAAGCGATCAGGGTTGGCGGGCTCTATAGGTCGGAAGAAACGCTTCTGTGTTGAAGATGTGGCATTCCGGTTTGAGACCTTGCGTGGTTTACAGGGGCGTAGAAGAACCAAGCTATGTGAGAAGCCCTGGCTTGGCACAAGGCTCTACATTTCCAGATGATGGAAACCAAGAATAGCAAATTATGCGGCCACGCTTCGCATTGACTCATGGGATCTACTAGGTACGTAGGTTCCTGGGCAGCGAAAGGTCGACCACATGGTCCACCAACGTCGATCTCAGAGGGGAGAGTCTATGAACCACGACTTAACATCTTGTAAACATCCCAATAAAAACAGAGTCCTAGCACTAGTATACACGACTTCATATGTCATGCCCCAGTCAAGAGTAGTTCGAAGGTGTTTTTCCGGACATGAACACAGCATGTATGTTCTAGACCCACTGTTGCTATTGGAGGCTTAAGTGGACTATGCTTCAAGAGCAAATTCTCCCGGATTCGCTGGCAACCCAAAGTCCTAGACTCCCAAGGATCTTGGGCTTAGGGTTTAGGCTTTAGG